TAGCTACGCATTTTCACCCCTTACTTGAATTTTCTTAAAAGCTCGAGCGCTCTGACGCTTTCGTAAATTGTCTGGCTGCGAGCCATGTATATTATTGTACGCGCGCGTGTGTATTATAGAAATTGGAAAAGTCGTGTTCAAATGAGGGTTGCATGTGGCGAAGTGGACTTCTCCCCTACGTGACGATACTATCTCGAGGGCTGATTGTTATACGTCTGGCTGCGTTAAAGAGGCGCCTATACATACAAGTTTTGTTCTGAAACGAACTGAAAGCTCCGTGGGTAATATAAGCACTGTAGGAGTTAATACGTAGGCTAAGCTCGTACCACCCTCAGATGAGCGGGTATGCGTGTATGCCGTGTCAGGAGCTACTTACCGATGCCATTACTGTCGCTCCCGCCCTTAACTTTAACCTCGCCGGTAGGAGGCAGCTCGGCAGCATGTAAAAATTTAATGACGTCTGATTGTCATGACCGCTGCCCGTGCTTTACGGTTGAAGCTTCAGAGACTCCTGTCATTATACGTATAACTCGCAGAGAAGCCCAAGTGCGTCCTCGAAAAATCCTCGCGAGCTCTGCCCTTAACTTTCTTTGGGACGATGGAGGATTCTTTTTACTGAGATTTTACGTAAAAGTGAAAAAAAATAAATAAAAATAAAAATTTCCACAACTCTGCGGCCCTGATATGGTACAAAACTTGATCGTTCTTCTTTTTCTTAACTTATTTAGATACGAGAATTTTATTTTTATATATATATATATTTTTTTCCTCAGCAATCATTCGAGATCACGATTCCTGGACCAATATAAGCAATTCCTGGAATGGCTCTCGCGGTCGTTAAACTTCTTCATCCAGTTTTCAAGCTGAACGCCGATGAAAGTTTTTACTCCTCTCTCGTATCCTTACTCCATAAATGCATTCTCTCGCGAAAGAACTTTTCTGTGCAAAAGATACTTTGCTCTTATTGCGTCAGGGATCGTCGCTTTTAGAAATTTATATTCGTTGCGTCATTGGCACTGGGAAGCCTGCGTTATATCAGAAATATACAGCGAGGTCACGTGGTTCCTCGTTACATACGTTATAAGTTATAACTAGTCCATCAAGCATTTTGCGAATTAGGACCGAGCAGCACCCTTATCGTGTTTACACTTTAAATTACATGTAACTAAGAACTCCCTAGTTTTGCTACGCCGTCTTGTTCAGTAGTAACGAGCCGATGGCGTGATCGGTACTCGTTGCGGAATCTGATAGTTTCAATGATTTTTTTTTCTTGATTGTACAATAGCCAGATTCTTCTTTTTTTTATCGTAATTAAATATAAAGACTAATAACAATTTCATACTGCTATGAGGATAAGTATCAGCCATTGTAAATATACTACGACGATACTCTACCTGAACTACAATGAGTTGGTATCAGGACAGTCTGTGTTTCATTCTAGAATAGAAAACTGTATACAGAGTTATTCAGAACTAAAGCACCACCTGAAATTAGCCTGTAAATTTGATTTGTGTAGTTCATCAATTGGTATGTTTGTACTGAATCACCCTGTATATTTACGTACACGTACAATAATGCGTAAGAAAAATTGTATAGAGAACCACGTGTGGCTAGCTTCATCTTTTTTGATCTGTTAGGAAAAAAAAACAATATATATTCCTCATGGAACGACTATACCTATATATACAGTACCGCAAAAGGGGAAAGATGTAGCCATTGTGATCAGCGGTTACTTCAGAGGGCAGGTAACGTTTCTCATTGATATTCCATCACAATCGAAGTATGGTTGTCTAGAGCAGCAGACGGGGAAAAGGCCAGCCACCCTCCCATAAGATGGCAACGCATTCATGCGAGAGACCCTAATGCTCGTTTTTCTGGGCCACCAAGCACAAGATATGCGGCACCGTATGGAGGATCTCGAAATACATGGTATTGGCGGATGTATTTCGGAATATTCTGTTTTATTCCTACTTCAAAGTTGATCCTTGACTCTCAAAAAATTATGCGGAATGTACTATGGATATTAAGGGTGGAAGAGCGTAGGAATATTTGATGTTCAGAGAAATATACAATAATATATATATATATATATTGATTTTTTATAATACGATACTCTAATTATTACGTTTTTATTTATTATGTATACCTTCATTAGTACGCGTGTAATAGTGGAAGCACGATTGAAAAATATGAATTGATCTACGTCTACTTCAATGTAAGTTCTAATAGTACTAATAAGTATTGATAATACTACTCTAGATAATACTACTCTAGATACTACTAATAGATAACACAATACTCTAATCGTCAGTCTTAACGAGGGAGTAGATTAATTGCAAACTACGTCCCTTGGAATTTAAAAATTGCACGGCCTTCATTATTTGTCCGGTCAGGGATTTGCTGTTTCGTTTATTAATATATCGACAGGTCTTACACAGCTGTTTCGGCGGGAAGTATAATTTCATTAAGGCGAACACTCGTTTATCGAGCCGTAACAAATTGTGGCTTTTACATCGAAAAAACAAAGTCGCAGCTTGCGCATGAGTGTCGAAGCAATTCTTTTAGCCGGGACTGTATATTAGGGATGAAAAAAAAAACTAGCTTTTCCCAATAAAAGCGAGATACCTCCCTACGGCAATATCGGTATCTAGCCATTTTCGAAAATTGAAGGTCAGCTTCAATTTTCCATAAAATGTTACCCGTCGACGATAATAAAACTCGCATCCCTTACAGGAATCTCTAATATTTCACATTGCATATCCACCATATGTGTTACATGAATTGATTAATAATTTTTTGAAATAATTATTTTCCTTTTTCTTCCAGGCGGAAAATACGAACCTGTACTTCTGGATAATGCATACAAGGTACACATGAAACTCACGATACGATCTGTCGGACCGTCCGACTACGGTTCGTACAAATGTGTATCAAAGAATTCACTGGGTGGTACGGACGGGAGTATCAAGCTGTACCGTAAGTGTAAGCTTGCTCTTTGTTTATTATTTATTCCTTTAGAAATTCCAATAATATATCCGTGCCCACGTCGCCGTACATGGGTACGTATACAATCCTGTGGATATCGTTGTTATTTCACGGAAAGCCAAAGCAATTATTGGACACAGAGAAGTTGTATAAGGAAAGAGGCAGGAACCTTGTGAATCCGCAACAATAATAAACATTATTATTTAATTAACGATCAAAGATAATGTCTGCAGAAATAAAGTCATCAAGGTAATCGCACTGATTATTTTCCTATTTAATAGATACATTTATCACCTTTTTTTTGCTTTTGGTTCAACTGTGGATTTATCTAATGGCTATAGTGTAGCAGTCAACTTATCTAGTATCTAGGGTAACGTAATTCTTTTAACTTATGACCCGACACCGATAGCAAAACATATGAGAACGACTATCTTCGAGAACCAACCTACGTTACCTTCGGCCGTCCACCCGTCGTTCGTGCATCCGCAAGCCAGGCGGCCGCCAGCCAATTCTTT